CAGCATATGCTGTGCTGTCTTTGGTGAAGTTAGGCGGCGAGACGAACATGGTCGAGGCGTTGAAGGCAATCCGTTGGATGTCGAAACAACGCAATGCGGAAGGCGGCTTCACATCTACACAGGACACTGTGCTTGGCTTGGAGGCGCTCACAAAATACGCTGCTGCGATGTCGAGCAATACAACAGATCTTTCGGTGCTCGTGACCGCCGGTGAGGTGGACCAGGTGTATAGAATGTATAACGATAATCGTATGGTCCTCACGCAGATTCGTCTGCCCGTCATACCAACGATAGTCGAGATCTTTGCCGAGGGTGAAGGCTGCGTCTTAGTACAGGTAACTTTAAATTTTTTCATAGAATTTTATAATAAAATATTCGATATTCCTACTAAATAAACCATAAAACCATAAATTCGTATAAAGAATTTGACTGAGAAAAGAATTCTTCCCTCCCCTCCTCCCTCTTTTCTTGACTTATTTATATTGATTTAATTTCTACTCATAATTATTTTCAGAGCAATATAAAGTACAATGTTGCACATGCAACCGGCTCTGAAGCCTTTGATCTCTCAGTTAATGCAGCTCCCGCAACGTGGCTAGATGAATGCTCGAGGCAAAAAATTACAATTTGCACACGATATAAAATGGCAGATGGGGAAAGTAATATGGCATTACTAGAGATCAACATGGTAAGCGGATACATCCCGGATCGTACGAGCCTTCATTCTCTGTTGGAAGATCCAGCCACAAGTGAGTGTGCAATCAAAGAATATATTAAGAGGTACTAATAGATAAAATTTATTCTCTTGTGTAACACATAAATATTTGTAGAAGTGAAACGTTTCGAGGATGATCGCGGTATCGTCACCATTTATTTCGACAAATTAATCAATCAAAAGACCTGTATATCGTTTACAGTGACCAGAGAAAATATTGTGGACAGACTTGAACCAGCGAATGTAAAACTTTATGATTACTATCAACAGGAGTTGACGATATCTAGCGTAAGATTACAAGAATATTCTCAACTAACAATGATATAATTTCTTAATGTTCTACTCAACAATGTAACTATTACATACAACATGCGTTATATATTATATTCATATTGTCGAGTGGAAACATTTAATATTGATGTAATGTTACTGTTAGTGTTTACCGGGTTGTTCATGATTCATTTAAATATCTAAAATATAAATATAAATATAAATATACATATTTTATAATATATTTGCATTATACATTTTTCAGAGCTACAGTTTTGCGGCGACTTGCAGCAGTGCCACTCCGAGTGAAGAAGTAGAGGTTCCCAATCCGGTGCCGATAGAGGTACAGGAAATGGGCAAAGACACCGCGAAGAAGGATACTGTGGAAAAAGAAGAAGATGTAATCGAGAAAACAGCTGAAATCCCGAACGATCGAAACGGAACTGTAGAGCAGATAGGTAACACGACTCAGAACTCTGATCTGGTCAAGCAACTCCGTGATAAAATAACAAATGAGAAATCGGTAACCGGCATACAGACTAGAAGCGAGGATATTTCACCGGTAGACAATTCCAATCCTAAAGTAAATAATGACGATATCAATACCGTTATGAATGTTAGCGCAGCCAACAATAACAGCGTTGAGTCTGGTAATATGGATAGTTAATGAATATTACGAATATAGCTCGAGAGTAATGAGAATGATTTATACTGAAATCTTCTATTGAACTTATACATTTACACGATTAAATTCAAATATATTAAAGTATTCATATGCTTCCAGTAGAAGCATATTTTAAAAAATCACATTCAATTGCGTATAAATATAAACTCGAAATATTTAACTAAATTATTCTCGTTATTTTCGGGATAAATCTCTTTCTTTTTCTTGTATCATATTCTTCTTCGTAATTTTCTAAATTTTCCGAATTTCTCAGTACCACAAAGAGAAGCTGGAAGCGGCCAAACGCCGGACGAGCCAGACATCAATCTGAATCCCGTGTTCGACAGGCTCGGACCACCCAGCATAGATCTCGAAGATATGGAGGCACCGTTCTTAACTTTTAACAGACAAGGCCAAGATCCTTTTGCGACAGACTTCGACAGAAATCCGCTCTTCGTTGTAGTTGATCACGAACTAGCGACTCCCGAGGGTATCGAAGGACCTGTACCAGTTTCTGTCAAACCCGGTATCATATATTTTGACGACAATCCTCTATCAAACATGACCAACGAAACCGATCAGAAAATAGAAATGGATCTGAACAACAACGAAACATTACGTATGTAAATTCGAATAGACGTGAAAATTACTCAAAATGGAAACCATTTTGATTTCCTGAGAAATTAGATCTTATATATACAATATAGCCCTCTTATACTATTACAATATAGACTTTCAAGGGATGTCCTAAAGATATCCAGAGGATGTTTCTACAACTAAAAAATGTTTCCAGAACGTATATATTTTTCAAATTAGAAATGATCTTAATAAGTAAAATTAATCTGTTCCGTTATATATAATGATGCCGATATTCAAATAATTTTTTTTATTTCAGCACCTCTTGGTTTGAACGACTCCTGTCCTATATGCGCCGACGAATTACCGTCGAATATTAACGATCTTTATTGCTCCGCCAGTAGCGTCGTAAAGGCGGCGATCAGACGATTACGTAAAGCAAGACTTCTATTAGATATGCAATCATCGCACGAAGTTACACGCCTGCATTCGATGATCGTATTTGTCTTAAGACCCAATTGTTCTTGCCCGCCTTTAGATAACCGTAAGTATATAACTGAGCATAATTAAAAACAACTATATACTATCGTCATTATATATTCACTATTATTATTTATAATTTGAATTATATTATAGCTGGAAGTCTAGCACTGCTGATGCACTTCGAGGATGGGGAGTTTGCTAAGCGCTCGCATAATCGATATGTCTTAGATGAACAGATTTCTATATACGGATTACCACCAATTGGTGGTGTTCCACGTGAGATAACGGACGCTCGAGCAATGTGTGCGAATCAAGATAATAGCGCATTTCTTAATCTTCCTACGGCTGACTGATCTTCGGCGTTCCGCTGAAAATATACTAAATACAAACAGAAATAACAGAACACGTCATGTATCGTATCAGCGAAACTCAATCGAGAAGAAAAAACTTAATCGTTTTCAGCCATACAAAAATTAAATTACTTGAACTAGAATAAGATTTCTCTTGATTTGAATCAAGAAATTCATTCGTTGCAATTTGATTCATTAATTTTAGCACGTCTCCTGTATTTAATTTGAAAGTAAATTTTACACAGGATATGTAGTCGAATACACTCTGACCTTTCATCGCAAATCACTCTTCTGCATCTCCCACCGTACACATATCTCGACATCATATATTCTATATTAAGAGTGTGCGATGAGAAAACATAATATCTAATAGAATAAAGTATCATTTTTACAGCGAAAGTCGCGTTATATCGATTGTATTGCGTTATATTGTTTAATTCTCGTAATTGTGAATAGCAAATAATTTACAAGTTAATAATAAACTGTAAATAAAGCACAGCGATTTATGATATAATAATTGGGTAATTCAATGAATCCATGAAATGTTAATCTTTAGTATCGTATTTTTCATCATCGATTTTAATGTGCGAGCTATGTTTAAGCTATGTTTAAGGTGAGTAATAATACATTAATTTTTTGTTGATTAACTTGTGAATGAATTAGCTTGTGAATGAATTAGCTTGTGTAATTTTTCTAAACATTTGAAAATTATATTTTCTTAGATAAACTCACTATGCAAATTTAATCCTTTCCGGAAAGCCGAGAAACGATGTTTAAACAAAAAAAAGCAATTCTTTCTAAACAATGAAAAAGAATTCGGTTCGAACAATTTTTACGCGTATAAGAATGATAGAAGCAAGAAGTATGAAAATATTTTGAGTTTTGAACGAATGTATTGTATCTTTATTTGTTGCTCATGTTTGATCGTACTGTAATAGTTATTACAAATTAACAATCACCCGAATCGAATTCTCGCTACATTAAATAGTATTTCGTTATAATGTATGTACGATTATTTAGTTAATAATTATATACGATTTCAATTCGTGATCATATTGTCCATTTGACATTTAACATTGATAGGATCGAGTTATTATCACGCGAAATGATATTTTAATTAAAATCCTTCATTTGTTATATTAAATCTTGCACTTTCCAAAGGACAAGCCTCATTAAATATCAAATGGATAGATTCTCTGGAAGTATTATTATTTATTCACGCTGTATACAGTTAAATGCTTGAAATAAATAAACATATATAACTATTGCTTACTATACACTACTCATCGCGCTGGTTCGCTACAATACTATTGAGAACTTAACTACGTAAGGAATGAAAGGATGAATGTAATTGGCAGTAATAATCGGTATTCGCCGCCCATATCTCGCGCTAGATGACAAACACATGTTTTCGACTGTGAATGTCCGAGATAGGAGTAGGCAGTGTATTACTTGCGGCGAATATGCATTGGCAAGAATGACGAAGTAACGCAAATGATGAGCATAAAGATATAGTGTATAAAAAAAAAAATCTAATAACACGTGACATCTGACATTTGATAAACGGATTTGACAACGGAGCAATACTCGACCTCAAGGCGATCGTCCCATCGAAGAGTATATTTTTCCCTTAAATTCGCCAAGAGACGCAGTGAATGTAGCTTGCAAGCGATGACGATCGTAAAATACATCACCTTCGCGAAGGCGCGACACATACGCTTATTAACATTTATCGACATTGAGAAAGATGTCGTATAGTATAGACTATTAGTACATGTACCACCGATTCGTAACCGAGAGCTATATCTCGACGGCGGAGAACACTACTAAAAAAAAAAAAAAAACGGCCATCCCGACGAAGTTAAGCATAGAATACTAAACAAAACAAAAAAAAAATGAAAAAAAGCAAACTAACAAACTAACAAACAGACTCACGCCTCTCTCATATAAAAATGAAAAAACTTGTAAAATACTATATGTAAGATCTTTAACAACTGATATGGATATGCATTTACAAATTTCACAATTCGAATACACAAGCTCGATATTAAATTATGTATGACTTTCTCGCGGAATCGTTAGAATCTGTCGTATATTCGTTTACAGACTAAGCAGTAGTGATAATAGATCAATTAAAAAATTCGTGTTAAGCTATGTTTTTAAGCAGAAAAAATATAGAACTATAAGACACAAGTTGTACTGGAGTATTGTCGTTGTATCGGTACGGATCTTACGAGACAATTCCCTAATCAAATCAGTTTTCTTTATAAATATTAATACTTATTATAAAAATCTTCCTACATGTTGCATTTTTTTCAGATATTACGCTACAAATATAATTGCTATATATAAGACCGTTAAATCTACGCAAAGCTATTCACGGTCGATTCTTATTTAATCGCGTGATGCTTCAATATATGCCTCGTTTTATTATACAATAAATCATATATCGATTTAATATGGAGCCTGCGTGTTATCAGGGGAATTTCAACGGGCAAGCTAAATTACAGAGACGCAATAAACGTAACGCCGGCCTCGGTACATTTATGCATGTAATTCGAAATTGATGCACGAAAATATTAGGTGAAGAATCAGAAGATACTGATTTCTATCCGACTGATTTTTATCGTACCTTACGCGTCAATTATGCCAGAATGAGAATAGCACGTTGCTCGTAAAGCAACACATTGTTACGGACTTACGCGAAGGTCGCTGCTGTACTACTCAGTAGATTTTGGGTGCCGAACGATCGTTGATCGGGCCGCTGGTCTTCCTCAGCGGGGTACCACGTCTAATCTGATCCATGAGGGAGTCTCTCATTTGCAAAGGATCCATGATGGGCACGCGATTACCCATGATGCGCCTGATACTTGCGGATTTACTCGTATTCCCCGCCTGCTGCAGAGCCTGTTGCTGCTGCGCCAATTTAGCATTCAACGTCTCGAGAAAGCCAGGAGCTGCCGTTTTGACATTCTTGGACTGTTGCTGCTGCTGCTGCTGTTCCAAGAGCTGTTGTTTCCTAAGAGACTTTGGGCTCATGTTTACGCCCGCCGTAGCATTGCCGCTCATAGTACCAATAAGTTTAGCATTGAGCACTGCCATGAAACCCTGACCTACGCCGCCCGGTCCCTGTCCTTGGCTTGTAGCTTGTCCAGTTTGACTAATGGTACTACCACTGGCTACGTTGGTGGTTTGTGCACTGACAGATCCGCGTTCTTGGGACGACGAACGAGCAGCTGAGCAAGAACGTTCAACTGATGAACGAGTTATCTGCAGCACGGCGTTATGTTGGATGATGCTCGAAGGATTGTTGTGTCCCTGCTGTTGTCCAGTAGTCTTTCGTAAGAGCGACGGACTGGCTGGTGTATGACGAAGCTCGGTCAGAGTTCTCACTGTCTCGGAAACCGAGATGGATCTACAAAAAATAAAGCATTAAGTAGAACTACGGACATCAAAATTAGAAAGAGATTAAATCGTGACGTTGAAATTTTCAATTATAGAGTTTATTGTAACTAAAAATATTAAGCAACATCGATCTTCACCTCTGAGGTGTAGGGCTGACCGTGGGCGAAGAGCTTTCGAGAAGGAACGCAGGTGGAGGAGGAAGATTCTCTGTTTCATCGCAAACATTCTCGCCCCGATCTTCATTAACAGATGAAGTAGGAGGTAAGGTAATAACGGTGGATGTGCGTCTTGTCGGTGGCGGCGGTCTGCTCGTCTGCTGAGTCGATCCTCTACGTGTCACTAACGTAGCTGCGGCGCCAGGTACGTTCCACGTGTTCTCGTTTTGATTATGAAGCGAATGAGAGTGTGGCAAAGTATTTTGGCTTCCGTATCCACTGCTGGATTCCAAACTGGACTCAGATGTCTGACTGCCGGCGTCTTTCTCCGGGACTTCAATCTACACAATTTAGCAAAACGTAAGCAAAATTGAAAGTATTTAAAATAATGTACATCTTAAGCCTGTATCAGATTAGATCGAGATTAGATGGATGAAGATTGAAATTGAATTTGACTAATCAAAGCAAAGTTTATTAAACTTGATACTGATTTTGTTTCTTCTAATTAGTTACTTTCTATTTCAATCTCAATCTCTCTAGTCTGATCTTTAGACTTTGTCGCTTTTTTCATGTACCTTGTCAGTTCCTGATGTTGTTAACGATGTTGGAGGAGGAGGCGGTGGAAGTTGCATTTCCTGAGCACGACTAGCAGCTAGATTCGCCAACTCGTGCATGTTTACGTACATTGGTTGTTGGAGCTGATGGCTTGCCAATTCTACAGGACCGTTATAATGGTAAATCTCACATCGAATTGTAGCTCACATAGTTTACGTATCTATGTTAAACAAACCTTTTGCCAAATGAGCAGGAAGAGGTAATTTCGGCTTCCCTCGAGGACTTCCAGGCGGCTCGTTTTTCACCGGAATTGTCGGTCGTTCCAAACTAGAACATCTATTCGGTATAGGTGGACGATTGCCGCCATTATTTCTACGAAGCTGCACTCTGGACTGCTGATTCGAGGAAGAACATGAAGAGGAAGAGGAAACCGGAGAGGCAGGCTGGCTGTGACAGCAACTGTTACCGTCACGATCCGGAGCTTGGAATGTGTAAACGCTGAGCGCCGGTCTTTGATGTCCCTTTTCGTACGCTGAAATAAAT